TTCAGGTAAGTCAATATAAAAGGAAAGAACATTATAATATCTGCTACATTTACAGTTCAGAATTCTCAAGTCACATCTATTACTTGCTTAATTCTTACTATAGGCAGGGTTACACACTGTATTACACAATGGATGAAGTGACATCCTGTTGTATTTCATTCCAAAACACTGAAGTGTCTGAAGTCTCCAAACAAACCAGAATAGCTGTGAGGAAATCCCTCAAATTCTCTCTCATTTGTCTTGAATTCAGGCATATATAAATCTTAACTCTTCCCAAAGTCTTTGCTGTCTACTCGTCTTTCTATTACCTTTTCAGATCTCTTTGTTTCTTTCTTGCTTCCTAGAAAAAAGTGTGACCCATCTTACACTAAAAAAAAAAAAAGCTACACTATAATTTAAGGGCCTGTCACTCACCACCTTCAATGACACCACCTGTTCTAAATGCCTGGGTGTTTGCCAGCATACTTGGCATTGCACACATACAAGGCATCCAGATACTATAGTGTGAACAGGCTATAAATAACAGACCAAAATTCTCCTTTTCTCTTTCAACCAAGACTACAAGATAATTAAAATTCACCTGTGTAGACACAATCTCCATATATTCAACAATAGAGAAGGACAACCCTGCTCTAGAGTCACTGTCTATTAGAACCAGAATCTGAATCAAGGTTATTTGGACAAATGATTTTAGAAATGTTTATACATAAGGAGGATAAATGTACAAAGCATGAGGAAAAAAAAACCCATTCCTCACCTGAAAAAACAGTCACAGGTTGCTGATAAATCACAAACAGTATTAACTCATTTTGATTTTTGTCAGTTCCACAAATATTTAACATACTGAAAAAAATACTTGTGCAATATATACACAGAGCAAAAGCTTTGTCAAACACCTAACTAAAAAGAAAGAACTAAGAAGCAGGAGTACTGTGCAATGATGATGAAATTAAAGAATCTACATATCCTTCTTAAGTTAACTGAACACTTGCTCTTTACTTCAAGAAATGAATACTGCTGATGAGTGAAGGTATGGAAGCTACCATACTTGCAATTAAAGGTAAGTTCTAAAAGTTAATGTGCTCAGAAAAACAGTGGAAAACCCAGTGCAGTAATTTTAAAGAACTGTCTCATAAAACTGCAGCTCTAGCAACACAAAGCTACAAAAAAGCCAAAAGTATTAGTACTACAAAACAGCAGAAGTTTGCATTTGTATTTCAGAAGAAATATAAAGAATCAAACTGGAAATCAATCTTGTTTGATTGATTTTCAGTGCTTTGTCAAAGCAAGCTCTAAAGGACATAGAAAAAAAATATATTACTTTACATGAGTTAAAATTACGTAAGACAGACCCGAGTCTTTCTCAGAAGAAAGACTCTATACAAGGGTACTCCTTTGCAATTGGTATGTCTGCTCATGGGCCCAAAAGCACCTGAGAAAGAAAAAGGGTTGTATGATCACAGGGTGACCACGACCTGACAAAGGGGTGGTAGGGAGTGAGAGAGAAATAGGCTGGGGTTTAATGCAATAGTTTTAAGAACTCATTAGGAATTTTCATTCAGAATAAAATTAACTGAAACCAAACTATGAGTACTGCTGCTACTATGAGTAAAAGAGTCTAACATTAAAGGGAAAAAGTAAAGACTGAGAAAAGGATATAATTACAATCTGCCAAAAGATTACAGTGTTTACCATTATGTTAGAGGCAATGTTATTCCAGCTGATGAAGAGTGTTTCCACCTTAAAGAAACTGCTTGTCTCTAATCATAGCCCAGTTCAGAAACTGTTGGCACAAAGTTTCTGCTCCAAGTGGACAAGCTCGTGTTAGCTTTTTCAGGAAAAAAATACACATTCAATGCAATATATTTGCAATGTTAAAATCTGAGAAATACAATTTCTTATAAGTTCATGGTGTTTAGTAATAGAATTACAATTCCTTAGAGGGAGTTCAAATCCCTCAGTTTGTTGGTGTTATGAAGGTATAGAGGAACAGGAAGTCACCATTTAAGACAACCAGAAAGCCATTATGCAGTTTGCAAGAGTCTGCAAGTGCCTGATGAATCCATAAAATGTAACAGTGTCTGGTTAGTGTTGGTAAACTTAAAGCAATGCAAGACAGTAAATGTATCAAGGTATTCTACAGCCCTGTAGAACTATGAGACACCTACTGATCCACCAAGCTATCTTTGGTGACCTTCCTCAGACTTCACAAATTACCAAAATTCCAAGGTAACATCATGCAGTGATGCAGCTTCAAGAGGTGGCACTTATTTTATGAACTATGAGTTCTCCACCAGTCAGCTTCCAACAGCTGCACAAAATAAAACAGTACGTACAGGATATTATTATCAGTGACATGAAGCATCTGCAAAGCTCTCTCATAATGGTCATTCACCAAAGGATCTCTCAGGGAATAATGTAAACCATAGGTAGGCTTCAGAGAAGCAGTGTAAACTTTTCTAGAATCAGTGCTACCATACATGCTGAAGATACAGGAACAAACTAAGAATTGAAGTGCAATTTTAAACTGTAAGGTAATGACAATACTATAATTAGCATCAAAAAAAAGATGAAAATACATAATAAAAAATAAACCATAAGGATCTTCCAGAAGTGTTTATTCTAAGATGAAACAACCGTCAACTTTTGTTACACCGTCAACTTTTTCAAAATGAGTATCCCTTCTATCATTTTGCAAAAGAATGAATCGTTGCTCATTAAAAATCAAAACAAAACACTGCTACTATATTGAGGCTCCATATTTTCTAATGAAACAAGTAGAAAGCCCCATGGTAACAACCCACGTTCTGTAACAAGCTGCAACTATTTAAAATATTTTTCCATTACCAATTTAATACACTCCTACACTCTTTTCTACTAGTGATACAGTTACAGTACAACAAAGAAAAACTACGGAAGCAAGAGGAAGAGATTGTCCTGGGTACCCCTTAGATGAAATAGCAGTTGGAGAAAACTCTTATCAGTTGACATCATTCCTGCTAACTAATTCTCTGCTGTGGTGGCAGACTTGGTAGGCTTACAAACACTTGTTCTCACTTGGCCCTTTGGTAGGCACCCCTTCACCTCTTCCCTAGAAGCAGGTCTAACTCTGCGAGCCTAACTCAAGAAAATGTGAACTTTATCATCTTCACAAGCAGACATGTGCTATTTACATAAACTCTATTTATTTACATAAAATTTTTGAAGGATGTGTAATAATCACAGAATGTCCATTACCTACATTTACATGTTACCTAGTTTCCAGATAGTAAGATAATAAAATTGGATTACTTTCTCAGAAAGCAGTTCTAATAATTTTTTGTACGCTACAGGACTGTACTCATTGACTACTACCACACATCTTCACATTAGGATCTTATAAACATAAACAGCAACATAGTATCAAATCCATTATTTGTTTCTAATCCTCTGCTGACATTATATACCAGAAGTATTCAATTACACATGATAGCGATCTAGGTGTTTTGGATATATGCACAGACAGCTTGTGCACTGCATGCAAGTCTAGGTCTTAATATGCTCTACAGATCCCCACTACTTAGAGTCAAATTTAAACAGCACTTTCTGAAAGTTCACGTGTTAAAGTACTGTGCTATCTTCTGAGACAATGAGAGCCCGGGAAAAAAAAAACAAACCACACACACACCAAAACCCAAATCCTTTGGTGTCAGTTCACAAGAAGTACTGATGTTTAGGGCAACAAAATTACACCTGACACATTGCACACAACTGTCTTCTATTCACAAGTTCGCAGTTACTGCCAAGAATTCAGTTCAGGTAAAACTGACTTCACGGCAAGGTAAACATCTCCAAACCCAAGGAACAGGAAACGACAGCAAAAGCATGTCACATACGTCAAACCATTTCGTACTGCTAAAGCACCTTTCATCTATTCTTACATCATCACGAAGCAATTATATTAACCAAGGAAGCAGACGTATATTAAGAAGATAACTGTTTCTGGGCCCCAATATATTTAATTCCCTTGCTTTACAATCAAGGCACAATGAATGTTTAAAGAATGGACAAGCACTGATTTAATCTTACAGGAAATTTGTAATAACCCCCCATATACATCTCCATAGGTATTGGACGCTAACATCGATACTTTAAAGGGATAAAAATGATCCCAGATCTTCCTTATTTCAAGCCAAAAATGTCTGTACATCACTCTAAAATGAGTGACCGAGTAGATCATACAAATTCAACGCAGTACTACTTCACCTACAAAACATTTTTATTTTCAGCGAAATACATAACACCGTCCTTCAAAGCGTCATACTAGGATCCAAGCCGGTAATCACTTAAAACACATGGAGCAGATCATAGTTCAGGGCTGTTTCCGGGCTCCTTCCAAAGCCACGAATGTGCCCATCTCTCTTACCATCATCAACAGCCTCTTTACAATTATAGCAACAAGACATACTAAGAATAAAGAAACGTGCTCCGAAACAAATAAAAATCCAAAATGCCTAAGCATTAGCAAGCCTGACTGACTCCTACCGCAGCTCGCCGCAGCGGGGGCACGCCCTACCGCTCTGGGAACAGGGAAGCGGCGGCAACGCGCTCCGAGGAACTGCGAGAAAGGCACCGAAAAACACACCGCTGGGATTTCAGCACATCTTTCTTTCTCCCCCTCTGCCTCATTCTGCCGTTCCCACTCAGCCCCGAGGACCGCACGGCATCTCCCCGCGGGCCAGCAGGAAGGATCGCTCTGGCCGGAAGGGCTCGGGCCGGGCCCGGCTTCGCCCGGCCCGTCCGCAACAGGTCCGATCGCGGCCACACGGAAGGGGCGCACACCGCCGCCCCAAGCCGCCGCTTCCCTTTCTGCTCACCGGTCTGACCGGGGAGTCCCGGCCGAGCCGCTCCTCTAAACCCGAAGAACCGGGTTCCCACACCGCTTCGCCGCTCGGGTTTCTGTGTCTGGGACACCCTTCCTGCCCCCAGCCCTAGCCCGCTGGGGCCTCAGAAAACCTTACCTGCGGGTCAGCCCGCCGCAGCGCTGGGACGCCTCAGTACGGAGGGGGAATTTTTCACTCTGTGCTCCACCGCTTCCACGGCTGCGAGGAGCTCGTGGGTCCCGGAATCGCCTCAGGCTCCTGCCTTCCCTCACTCCCTACGCCCAGAGACCGGATCACGGTAGCCGCCGGACACGGACCTTCCAGCCGCTACCTCGCTTCACCCTCTCCACCGCCCCCTCCCGTCCCTTCCCCGTGAGGGGCTTCAGGAGCCAGAGCTGTTGGCACAGACGAGCCGCACCGCTCCAGGCCGCCCCCTCTTCCCCGCCCCGCGCTCTTGCCTCCACCCCTTCAGAGCCTGGCGCTTACGGCCACACCGAGAAGGGGGGGTGAGAGACTGCGGTGAATTTCAAACCACCCGCAGGCCCCGCGGAAGGGGGAAGGGGCTGGCGCGGAGCAGAGGGAAGGGAAGAGAGGGTAGGGGAGGGGAGCGGGGCAGGCACCGCGACCGCACCGGCAGCGCCACAGCACTGCCCGGCCCGCGCACAGGCCGGCGGACCCACCGCGCAGGCGCGGCGGAGGGAGAGGCGAGCGGGCAGTGCGGCCGCATGCGCAGAGGTGTCGGCGGCGGCCAGGGCGCGGGTGGGCGGGTCCGCGGCCGGTGCGCGCGGCCTGCGGGGAGCGCGAGCGCAGGGGGTGCGCGCGGAGGGCGCCCCTGAGGGCGGGGGCAGCGCGGCGGCCCCGGCGGAGCTCCTGGCTCCGGGCAGGCAGGGAGGGACGGCGGGCGTGCCCTGCAGGGCGCCCGCTCTCCGCCTCGGCCGCCCCTTGTCACCGGGCAGGCCGCCCGACTCGCTGCTGTGGTGGGGAGAGGTAGGTCTGAGACCTTCTACTCTGTGCTTCATTCTCGATTTCAGACAGGGCTTTTTCTCCTGTCGAGCGGCCTTGGCCAGGAAACGGCGGTGCGGGAGCTCCGGGAGTCGCGGCCGCCGCCGCGGAACCGCAACGCGATCCACGGGCGGGTGTCCCCACGGGCGGGTGTCCCCACGGGCGGGTGTCCCCACGGGCGGGTGTCCCCACGGGCGGGTGTCCGCAGGGCACAGGGCACTCTCGGCACACCGGCGCTTCGCAAGGTTTACGGCGGTGGGTGCCAGGCAGGCGTCATGGGTAAAAACCCAATGCAGGCATTTGCGACTTAATCTTCTATTGGCCCAAACACTACCGGATTTCTGTACTATCAAAACTGGAATATATGCAACCGTCACAGTCCCCAAGAATAATATACAGAAAATAAAGAAATTACTGTTACGTATATTCCAATTTATACATCATCATCATCATGGCTAGGCTAACTAACAGTCATGAAACTTGATGAGATTCTGCTATCAGATACACTTGGGATCAGATCTGTAGTAGTTTACTTTTCAATACCTGTCTTTAAGTGCAGGGCGTCTCTGAGAGTGTAGAGATGATTAGAGGACATGGCATTTTGTATGTTTGAAATCGCATGGGAATGAAAAAGCACTGTTAAAATAACAAGGTAAGACTCAAAACCATTCACCAGAGTCCTTCCTAGAGTTCAAAAGCCCAAGGGGATGTACATAAAGGAAAAGGAACATGCAAGTGAATTACATCTATTAAAGTAAATGTAAAACATCTTTATTGTGTTTTATCAGTATTTTATAATTTTCCATGTGAGAAACCCTTTACTGTTTCAATCTCTTTCCTCAGCTCATCATACAGCATAACCTCACCATGCTTATTTTTAACATCACATTAATTTCTATAGCTAAAGATGATCTCACTGTAGGGAAATGAAGTAGAAAGTTTCTCATGGACTATCTGTAGAAAACACCAACAAAAATTACTGGTTTAAAATCTTCGGTTTTATTTGATGTTTATTCTTGCAGAAGGGCTCACTGATTTTCTGGGCTTTGTGGAGAATCTTCATTAAAAACAGCTTGGGTCATTTTGGTTTGTTCACTCTTGAGTGTTTGCATAGAGTCTTCTGAAATGTGGGATGTCTCAGGTCTGCAGGGGATGATTCTCTGTTAATGTATATAAAGGGCAAATTTTTTTTCTATCATATGTAGATTTTTCTATGATGTATTGTTGAATTTTTATACCATTAGTCTTTTGATATCATAGACTTCACATTTTTCTGTAATGATACAGCAAAATGTCTCCTTTAGAGCAAACATGCATTTTTGTCACTTGAAAGAACAATTGTTTACTTGACTGAGAAGCAGTGCACAGTTAGAACAGGCAGTGGTACAGGATGTCACAGTAGCAATTCTGAGTTCAGACACATTAATGAGTAACTAAACAGGTCATATTCTGTTTCATTATAAACCTTCAATTAGAAGCCAGAAAATTAAAGTTACGTTTGAACTTTTGCTATGAAATGACTGCAGTTACCAGATATACAATCATTTATGAATACACTTTGATCAAATTATTAGTGAAGCTACTGTAAAGCTTGCTCTATTAATAATGAGTTTCTGCTTAAAATAAGTAAATTAATAAATGAGATATCACTGGATCTGCCTTTGAATATTTTTTCTCTTCACTCTTGTCTTCTTATACAGTAGGTTAGTATAGATCCCTTGTCATATGTAATTGAACTTACTACTTTACTCTCTCCTTTCCCTTTTCTCTCAAAATCTCTCTCTGAAACTGTTTTGCTCAGTTGAGGCAATTCACGGGTGAAATCTTAGATTTTTCTAGAGTGATTGTTGCTTAAGAAAGTATGTCTGGGATGGATCTGTACGTCAGTTATATGGAATACTTTCAACAATGTCAACTTCCTGCAATAATTTGTATACATTTTTTAAGAGATTTTGTCACTGTACCAGCTTCTATGAGAGAAAAAAATGTGTTTTCTGTGCAATGTTTGCTATTTGTGCAGTTCTGAATATCTTTGGGTTTTTTTCTCCCACTCTTTAACATTTCTAATCTTCCCATGAATCTTTTGTCTAGTGAGTATTGCACCTTCTGATTAAGAATGTAATACTGATAGCACACATGTAAGATTATAGTGTAGCTGAATCCCTAATGCTATTCCATGTATTTTCGCTTATGTATCCTCCCTATTCTCTCTCACCCCTGCCACCCTTCCTTTTTGGAAAGAATAACTTCATCTATTAGTTTAAATTGTAGATTGGTTTACTGATGGAGACTGATTGGTTTAGGAGCATTTTAAAAAGTTCTGACCACCTCCATTGACTTATTTCTCTCTACATTTTATGGTCTTCCTTTCCAGTAGTTTATCTCTCCTCACTTCAGATACCATCACTCAGCAATTCATTTGGCACAATTGAATATACTTTTTTTCCCCAGCTCTCTCTTTTGGAGATTCTCAGTGTTGTTAGTAATTGCTTGTTACCCCCTCCCCACAAAAAGGGGTGTTATAGTACTCAGGTTGACATGTGGAAAATCAGCTTTGTGTGCCTATACTGTAAAAGAAGTGCAAACCACTTTTGTAATGCAGGGAGCAAGTTTTCATTGTTTTTGTTTGTTTGTTTGTTTGTTTTTGTTTGGTTTGGTTTGGTTTTTTGTTTTGTTTTGCTTTTCAAAACAGTTATTGGATGTGCTTACAGGAGCTTCTGCCCATTTCTGTCCTCCCTACCTTTTCTTAAGAGTTTAATTTCTGCTAAAGGTACATTTCTGTCATCAGATACACAGACACATATATTAAATAAATGTTTTCAATTTCAGCATTTATATGTTTTTTAAAATTTCAAGAGGAAGCAAAAAAGATGCATTACCTTCCTTGGATGATCTTTTGTATGTGATCTTCTCTGCACCAATTTTTTAACTCTGAAATTATAAGAACCCAGAATGTATCTACAAAATAGAAGGTCTGGGAAACTATAACAATCAGATAGTTTACATCCTAAGTTAAATATAAAAGTTAGATAAACAGAGGTTGGGCAGTTTAAAATTAAATTACTAGACTAATAGAATATATTTTTAGTTATGGGAAAAGTAAACGGAGCAAAAGAATCAGTAATCCTGTGGCACAGTCAAACGATCTCTAAATTTACCTGGTACCAGTTCTGTTGAAGTACATTCAAAGTAATGTTGCTTTTCAGTCACATTCAAAGCAATAAGCAAAGGGTTGCATGACTTAACTCTAAATGAAGGGAAACAACTTAAGACTTTAAGAGAATATTTGAAATAGTTATAAAGCAGAATGCATACAGACTGTATGCTGAACATAATCAGGAAATTCTTTATTTAAATCTTTCATAGAATTCATTGGAGTAGTATTAGCAGGCTTTCTATGTAAGGTTTTTGCATACAGATAACGTTTACCAAGCAGTGGAGATAAAACAAGCATTCAAAATCTCTGGCTGCTTAGTGTAGGGATATGCACATTTCTCAACTGTTCTTCAAGAGGTTAATGTAGACTAGAAAGTTTCTGGTATTGCTAGGTGGCTGCAGAATCATTGAGATTTAGTTTTTCCCTTTACCTCATTTACTTTAGCACTGCAAAAATCTGTAGGGCACAGTAGGAATTATGTCTATACATATGCATTTTGATGGGGATTGGTGCTATCCAGCAGCAGAATTGCATGAGTTGTTTTGGTTCAGATCCATTGCATCCTCAGCAGGGAAAAGGTTGAATAGCTATGGGTAAAATTAACTGAAAAATTTGTATTCCAGTGTTTTCCCCAAAATCTAGACATCCAGGTAAATACAGTCTTTTGTAGGAAAATTCTGTTTTAACACAGGTTAGGCAATGACCAAACACTTTTTAATAGAATGGTCCCTATTTTCTAGATTTTTATTTTCACTGTTTTAGTAATTTTTTGGTTGGTTGGTTGGTTGGTGTGGTTTTGTATTTGCCTTTTTTTAAAGTCTTTCAGAAATAAGCACTAGAATAATGTAAAGAATGTGTTTATGTTTAGAGTGTGTTTATAGGAAGATTTTTTTTAAATTGCTATGGATTAGTATTCTCGTTAATATAGTAAAATTTTAAGCACTGGAGTGCTCTTAAAAGTGTCCCAATATCAGCTTGTTAGTAAGAATTAAGGGGAAGACGCATTATTTCAATCAATCCCAGGTAAATGATGAAATATCTTAACAAGATTTGTGGACTAGGAGTTTGTGAGAAACGTTTTTATTTGTAAAGAAAATGTGAAACTATATTCTGGAAAAAAATAATTTAAAAATTAAAGTTTTACTTTGAAAGTGTTTATGTAAGGCATAGCAAAATATTTATTTTTTTATAGGACTTTTCTTTATTATTCCATTGTAAAAACAACTAGAGATCCAAGTATCATCATCCTTCCAGACCTGACAGGATGTAATTCTAAATGTCTTTATGTTCTGTTTTATATATATAGAAATATTGATAAATTCCTATGCTAAGATCCTTCTGGAAAACTCAATCTGAAGCCATGATCTATTCTTTATGTGCTATATATCCCTGAGAAGGATTTTGTAAATGCTGGTTGATTTTACTGATGACATACAAGCCACATAGAGGAATCACGTTACTCTTACACAGTTTTGTTGAGTTTGCAAAACTAACAAGCAGTGTCTGTGTTAAGTGTGAGTAAATGTGAATCTTTTAGTATGTACTCTTTTATTTTTCCGTGTCACTTTTCTGATGCCTGTTATATTTTTTAATGTAGAAATGTCATTGGAATGTAAAGTTTAAATATGTCTTTTTAATATTTAGATTTTTATAACACACAAAAATCTAATGGGGTTTTATGACAAATTTTCTATGTCTGATGTCCCTACAATCCAAATTATCTTCACTTACTATAGTGTTCCCACTAGGAATGAAGAGGTGAAGAAATTCTTAATAACTAAGACATATCTACTATGATTTTTTGTCTTCTTTAGAAAATACAATAAAAATTAAAATGCTCTTATTTTTGCTTCCTACCTTTCTTTACAATTCTCTTCAAAATCAAAATGCTCTCAAGTTCTTCATATAGCAAAAATAGCTTTCACTGAGTCTTTATTCATTTTCTCCAGGAACAAAGTTGGCCCTCTGTTTAATGTATTCTAAAAATAACCAAATGGAATAACTGAAAGCCAAACTGAGAGAGATGCTTCTTTTCCATCAACATTGAGACTATGCTGCTGCTCACAGCTTCAGTGGACTTCTCTGTTGGTATATGTTGGACATTAAGTTGCATCATCCTTTGAAGGTGAAGGTGGATTTTTCCTTTATACGAGTACTGTTAAAGTGGAGAAACATAAGGACACTGAAATTTAAATTCTAAATGTCAGGCTCTGAACTATACTTTCTAGATTGTCCAATCTGTATATTGCTCACAGAAGCCAGTCAGTGGTACCTTTGTACTATCTTTGTAGGCTTAATCACCATCACTTCTGGTCCAGTTACTTTACAGCACCTGAGCAGTCACTGGCAGCTATGGATGCTCAGTACTCCTGAGAGAAACAGTCCATTGCAATTAAGCAGATTGGGTTTAATAATTCTGTTTGCTGAATTGAAAAGCAGAAGGCTGGGAATTAAGTAATATTTGTCTGTAAGGTACATGCACCTGAGATCTAGGGCAAAACCAGCTTTACTGGATCATGTTAGAGCAGATAATAGCTCAGATGCTTGAAATTTTAGGTCTATCACGCTGTACAAGTGTTTGTTAGGGTTTTTGGTTTTGTTTTTAAAGGTGAGTTTCTATTCTGAACGTTTTAGGGAAATGCAGTGCTAATGGAATTCAAACACTAGGTATCAATAAGGAAGAAGAAAAATGTGGAAAATTTACAGAAATTTTCATAATAATTAATTTAAAATAAATACAGTTTAAACCGTGCTCTACTTGCCTGTGAAGTCTAACCTGATGAAATTTGTTATTAATTTAATAATTTACTTTATACAGTATTTTAATACAGCATATCCCTCTTTAATCTTTCTTATGACAATATGCAGATCTCTTCAACTAGAGAATGAAGCTACCAGAAGACTCCAGATGTCTGGTTGTTACATTCAAACTGGCCAAAGTAAAAAGTGAATATGGAATTTGAAAATATTTAAACAAATTAATTAAACTTAATTAAATTGATAGTATTCGTTTAAATGTACAATGCATTTTAGAGCTTGAACATACTTGATTACTTAGATTTTTGTAGCAAATTTCTCTCTGTGTACTTCATGTTGAATCTTCTGGGGATTACGGCAGCTCAACCTTTATGAACTAGGAGTAAAAAGCAAATATTTATGTTTCTGTATGTAATGTGCAGTTTTGATCTAAAATAAACTTTATTGTTGTAGAATTCCATACTTGATTCATGAACAAGAAAACATTATTTGCAATTGCTGAGGTTTTGTTAGGACTTTTCAGGAGTTATTAAGATGCAAATAATCATGATTGCTAAGGGACATCGTAAATTATACCTATGCAACTCTGAGACCTTGAATTGTATTAGTAAAGGCCAAACCAATTGAAAAAGAGTAAACAAAGCTTTAGATGATGCAAGTGAAAGAATGTGTCTTCAACTGTTTCTAGGCTGAGCAAATGTAAAAGCACTATTAAAGCAAGCAGTGTCACTCTCAGTATGTACTGGACAATTCTACTTCCAGGCATGTTTTAATTCTGAAAAGTGACAGGAGAGTCTTGTTCAACATTTCTGTAAGACTTGAAAGGAAAGCCAGTTAACTTTTGTGATGATTCATACCTGAATATTTTGCACACTTACTATTCTGAGTAGCTCAGCTAAAAAAGTGAGGGAGAGCACACAAAAACTGGAATATAGTTACTTGTGCAGACTTGTTTATTAGCATCCACTTAAGAGAGACAGTTGGTTACTTATGCAATCTGAGCTCAGCTTGCACAGATGTCACCAAGGGCATACCTTTAAAAAATGGGATTACACAACTGTAATGAGAACACTGTTTGGCATGGAGAACCATTGTTACAGGAAGTGAGATGAAAACAAAAAATAATGCTGGGTGATTAAAGGAGCCAAGGTTTGTTTTGTGTGCCTGGCAATTTTCTTTGTAAAAAATCCAAAAAACCCAAAAGACCCACCCTACCCCATCTCTCTACATGACTACAGAAAGCATATCTGGTGTCAGAACAAAGGTGCAACAAATATGAATTTTTTTCATACTGTTTTTATAGTAATTTTTCAGAACAAAGCTATACTTTGAACTGTGCCTTAAGCTTTTATACAGCAACTTAGCTTTGCTGCTTTATTATCTACATCAGCTGATTTAATCACTTAAGACTGAAAACAAATACTTTTAGAATTTGTTAATAACAGTAGAATGGGTTAATCCACCAATTTAAGAATCCTTCAAATCCCTAACAGAAATTGTAATTTTTGGGTTTATAGATATAATAAATTAGAACAGGATATACTAATAAATTAAATATTAAAACTAAGGAGGCTAAATGGAATCTCAGACAGGTCCCAGTGTCAAATGACAAGCAATTACTTAAATAACCATTTCATGCTGTTAGATTATTCCTTCACCAAAGATGTCATGGTATTCCTCTAACTCTCCATGTCTGCTTTGCTTTAAAAGCTTTGAGGAAAAAACTAAATAGTCACCAGACCAGCATAAGTAAGATGTGTACTGACTTTTCAAGCTTTGCCTGTTTCCTGAGGGACATAAAATCAACCAAGTCCTGGTAAGCAAGACAGCCATGCATATTTTTAGAATAGCCAGTTCTGCATCTGCATTTATCTACTTTCCTGTTATGGAGGGAACATTTGGCCGGGTTGCTTGTAAAAGATCGTACCAAATATAACTTGAAGGATAATAACTGCTTTCTAAACATAAAAATACGGGTTGATTGAAACTACATAGTAGTTGTTGTGTTCCTTATAATTTGTCATTGGTAAGCGTAGAAGTAATGTCTCCAGTATAACCTGGAACGGGAAAAAAAGTGGCTTCCTATCTACATGTACAGGATGGACAAGGGATCAGAGCCAGCCAGCACGGGTTTAGGAGAGGCAGATCCTGTCTGACCAACCTGATTTCCTTTTATGATCAGGTGACCCGCCTGGTGGATGAGGGGAAGGCTGTGGATGTGTCTATCTGGACTTCAGCAAAGCCTTTGACACTGTCTCCCATAATATAGTCCTGAAAAAGTTGGCAACCCACAGCTTGGACAGGGGCACTCTGTGCTGGGTTAAGAACTGGCTGGAGGGCCGGGCCCAGAGAGTGCTGGTGAACGGGGCTGCATCCAGCTGGCGGCCGGTCACCAGTGGTGTTCCACAGGGGTCAGTGCTGGGCCCAGTCCTGTTTAACATCTTTATCGATGATTTAGATGAGGAGATTGAGACCATCATCAGCAAATTTGCAGATGACACCAAGTTGGGAGGGAGTGTTGACCTGCTGGAAGGCAGGAGGGCTCTGCAGAGGGACCCAGATAGGCTGGAGAGTTGGGCTGTTTCCAACGGGATGAAGTTCAACAAGGCCAAGTGCCGGGTCCTGCACTTTGGCCACAACAACCCCTGCAGCGCTACAGGCTGGGCACAGAGTGGCTGGAGAGCAGCCAGGCAGAAAGGGATCTGGGGGTGCTGATTGACAGGAGGCTGAACATGAGCCAGCAGTGTGCCCAGGTGGCCAAGAAGGCCAATGGCATCCTGGCCTGCATCAGGAACAGTGTGGCCAGCAGGAGCAGGGAAGTGATCCTTCCCCTGTACTCAGCGCTGGTGAGGCCACACCTTGAGTATTGTGTTCAGTTCTGGGCCCCTCAGTTCAGGAAAGACATTGAGGTGCTGGAGCGGGTCCAGAGAAGAGCAACCAGGCTGGTGAAGGGACTTGAGCACAAGTCCTATGAGGAGAGGCTGAGGGAGCTGGGGTTGTTTAGCCTGGAGAAGAGGAGGCTCAGGGGTGACCTCATCACTCTCTACAACTCCCTGAGAGGACGTCGTAGCCAGGTGGGGGTCGGTCTCTTCTCCCAGGCAATCAGCAGTAGGACAAGAGGGCACGGGCTTAAGCTCTGCCAGGGGAGGTTTAGGTTGGATATTAGAAAGAAGTTCTTTACAGAGAGAGTGATCAGGCATTGGAACGGCCTGCCCAGACAGGTAGTGGATTCACCGTCCCTGGAAGTTTTTAAGACGAGGCTGGATGTGGCACTGAGTGCCATGATCTCATAATCACAGTGGGGTTGGATCAAGGGTTGGACTTGATGATCTTGGAGGTCTCTTCCAACCCAGTTAATTCTATGATTCTATGATTCTATGTTGTTACAGATAAAACATGCACACCTTTTCTTAAAAAAAAAAAAAAAGGCCCAAGGGGAAAAGAAAAAAAATCACTTCCATGCTGGAAGAAGAAAATCAGTAAAATATTTTATTTCAAATTTCTTGATTCTGAAGTATTTCATTCTGCTTAGGTAAGAGAAGTCACTTCTAAAACTGCTCACTAGTTTCAGGCAGGTTTGCAGGCTATAAGGTGATGGCAACAAGAGAATATTTTAAAAGTATACACTGTGTACTCCAGATTACCAACACCACAGAAGCTAAAGCAGCCTCATTCATAGTGTTTTGTGATTTCATAATGTTACCTCCCTACACCTAACCTTCATACATGGCTGCCACTCGAGCACATGTTAAGTGGACTACACCAGAAGACCCCAAACCCCATGTGGCTTGTGGGTAGTACATTACCCAGTGCAACTTTCTGACATTGTTTATAGCTATAAGAAATTAAAATGTTGTAACAGAGGTTGGCAAGAAGAAAAGCAGCATGTTACTTGCTGAGTATTTGTCCCTAACGGACTAGCAGAAGTCTAGACTATTAGACTATAAAGAATGAAATATCCAGAAAAGTACTTTGAATAATAAAATTAATGAATGTATGAGTATTCATATTGGGCCTAATTAGATTAACTTAAACAATTTTTAGTACGTGGATGAAGAGAAGAAAATACTGCACGATTCATTTTGACTAAGAATTATATAATAGTGTGATGCTGGTTAATGCGTTATGACAGCATGTGAAGAGTTATCTTTCTTCCAGTATCTGAACAGAGCCAAAAGGAAGTTATGCCTTCCTTTTAAGTATTTGTGTGCCTTTTATATTACAATTACAAAATTTTAACTGTTAGCAACACTTTTTCTCACCATAACCATTTTTTTCTTGTCTTGGTGTACCAACTGCAGGATTATCTTGGTACGTTGCATTGTGGCACTTTATATTGAAGAATGAAGTGAATAGAGGTCGAGAGAGTTACATGATTAGAAATAACATTTCTAGCTATTTTTATTGGTTATAGGAATGAACTTGAATAAGGTAGGATAATAGAAGAACAATACATGACACTTTACTCTTGGAAATCAAATACTAAATAATCCTATTCTAGTCACTACCAGTAGGAGACAGAATTATATCTTGGTGTTTGCAGGAGTTCTGTGTATTCTGACTTAAGTAGCCACAGCAGGCCTCCCTGCCTGAGCAGGTCTGGTCTTCATCTCTGGTTAATAATTCAGTGTAGCACTTTTGTGAAGAAGTATTATTACATGTGTTTAATAAAAAAGAGTCACAGAATGAACATTATTCTGTAAATTCTTGAGTAAACATCATAACTCTGAGTTTCTTTGGCTGCATGCAACGTGCTGCTAAATCAGAATGAGAAGCTCACAATACAATAAGAAGGACCTGGCAGTGATGGAAATACTAAAAAAAAATTGCTCGAAATATTTTCATTTAGCCAGACAGAGTAATAAATGACACAGTTGTCTTGTTCTTTTTATGCTCTATGTAAAAACTTGTAAAATTCCTAGTATCTTTCTTGAGATAAAGTTTTTGATTATGGCCTCTGTCTGACCAAATATACTGAATGCAATTTAATACTGTGGCAGTCTCCGTCAATGCAGCATCTCTCTTATCTCCCACTGGTGTTATTCCAAATGAAGTTTCAGGTGCTGCAGGACAAGTTGAGGTCAGCCTAGTTTTTCGTGACAGAATAGTTTGAGTTCATATTGCATTTATTATAAATGTAGCTGTATAATTGCAACCCCTGTTTAACCCCCTTTAAGAGCCATGTAAAAGTCCAGGTGGTTTGAAGGAAATTACCAGAGGAAATACTCACTTGAAGACTTGTCACTGTTTTGTGGTGATAAGCATTTCTTTTAAAGGTGGTTTTTTTTTCCTTCTGTAAGCATAGCATTGTATTACTTCAATTACAGGCATCAGAGTTTATTTTGGATATTTGGAAAACGGTTACTTT